CAGAGCTTCTGGAGAACCCCAGAACAAGGGTATGGTAGTGTGTGCTTATTCCTAACCAACCCTCTTTCCTCCCCATCTGACCTGGTCAAATAATAGGGGCTGGGCATTTCTACTCATTTGGCCATGTAATGACTATAGAAAGGGAGATACAAGAATATGCAAATGAAGACCACTTCAGAAACTCTATAAGGAGAGGAGGGAGGAGCAGGGTCTGTGCCTCAAGCCCTTGACCTGTGGTTTCTGTCTCATCAGCTCCATTGGCACCCTCTCCTGGATCCCCTTTAGTTCTGCTGAAGACTTTGGACTCCACTCCCAGGGAGGCAGCTGGCCTGGACCTCTCCGATGCCTCCTCTTCTTCGTCCTCTTCCCTTCCTGTTCCCCCTCATCCCCAGGGCCAGGGGCTGAAATGCCTGGTACTAGAATGGGGGCAGGGGCAGGAAGCAGTGTGGGTACCGACAACCGGAATGAGAAGGGCCCTCTCTACTGCCCTACCTGTAAAGTCACTGTCAACTCAGCCTCACAGCTTCAGGCCCATAACACAGGTCAGTTATTAGAAGAGGTGGGGCATGGCAAGGGAGGGAGAAGGGGAGTAAAGGTGGGGTTCTAAGGGGAGAAAAGGGGTAAAATCTATGTTCTTCACCCTTTCTGGGGGCCAGGGAGTGGGAAAGGTATAGCAGCTTTGATCCTCTGATTGCCCAGTGCTCTTTTTCCTGGGGGCTGGGAGTCTTTTTGTGTGCCTAGGTATCCCTAGGGAAGAATATCTCTTAGACTTACCTCCAATCTCTGGAGGCAAATGATCTGGGAAGAGAGAAGACAAGGGACAGAAGGCTTCTATGACTCTAGAATTGGGATTCCTAACCTGGAGTCCTCCTTGGGGGGGCAGGGTCGGTAGATAGATTTCAGGAAATCTATGAATTTGGATGGAGGAAAAAATTACATCTTGATTTTCACTAACCTCTAACTGAAATGTAGCACTTTCTCTAATTATGAATGAAAGCAATGAACCATTATTTTGAGATGCACTCTACAGATCAGATGGCAGGAGACAAAGAAAGTAAGACTGCATGAAGGTGCTAGGAATCAGGGGGATGCGGCACTGTATGCAATGAGGGAGGCTGAGAAAATGTTTCAATCACAAGGCAGAGAATGCTCATCTAGGTTAGGTGGGTTTGATGAACAGAATATCTTGGAGGTTGAGGGATGGCCATCAGGTTGGAGAGACATATACCTTTGCCCCAATATTCCCATCTTTGGGCTCTGATGGGATCTCTCTCCCTTCATAGGAGCCAAACACAAGTGGATGGTGGATGGTCATCGAGGAGCTCCTCGAAGGGGCCGGGGCCGAATTATGCCTCGGGGAGGGGCCAGGCACAAGGCTAAGCGTGTGGCAGGGGCCCCAGGTGGCAAACCGGGGCCAAGCCCTTCTTTCCACTGTGCCCTCTGTCAGCTCCACGTCAACTCTGAGACCCAACTCAAGCAGGTGGGGGAAGGAAAGATGTGAGAAGGGTGCAGGGGTGGGAAACCTTAGGCCTCGAGGCCACATGTTGCCCTCTAAGTCCTCAAGTGCAGCCCTCTGACTAAATCCAAACTTTACAGAAGATTTGTTCTGTATTACTTGGACTCAGTCAAAAGGCCACACCCAAGGACCTAAAAGGCCACATGTGGCCTTGAGGCTGCAGGTTCCCCACCCCTAGAGAGGTTGGGGAGGAGGGGTGGGGTGGCCAGAGAGGAAGATGGGAGGTGAGAGATAGTGGCATGAGCCGATTAAGAGTGGACAGAGTTGTGAGGGGTGAGTAGGAAGGAAGATGTAGAGACGGGTTGAGTGATAATGGATGACCACTAAGGGAAGAGTACTAAACTTGGGGAAGGGGAAAAGAGTGAAGTGGGCAACAGTGGGAAGTGGGCAACAGTGGGAGACTTAGCTCTTCCCTTCCTTCAGTTCCTCCCTTATCAAAAATCACAAGGATAAGGAAACCTGTGTTAGGGGGACCTGTCTCAACCCATGACCTGTTTGTGTCCATCTCTTTTAGCACATGAGCAGCCGAAGACACAAAGACAGGCTGGCAGGGAAGCCCCTGAAGGCTAAGGTCAGTCAGCATAGCAAGCTTCAGAAACATGGGGCGCTGGCTGTGAGTATCCTCAAGGTACCTGTCACAGAATGTTGGAACTCCCAACCTGAAAATCCTGGGGACAGGAAGACCGGGTGGGCAGCTGTGAGCCAGGCAAAGCCTAAAGGGATGAGGTGGTAGCAGGTTTTTTGTGGGGGTGGGTAGGAAGGGATAGTGTCAGGAGGAGACATTAGGAGGTAGCAATGAGAACACTTGACTAGAGAGCTTTTATGGGTGCAGCAGGAAGGAAGCAAACCCCTTTCTTGAGCCTGCCCTGGGAAGGGAAGATGAGTTTGGCCTTTTGTTGTCTTGGGCTGTGCCCAGGAATTTCCGGCAGGTGGGATGGAGCACCAGCTATGAGGGCATGCAAGTGAGGGGTGGGTGTATGTTTGGGCAAGGGTCTCCTGGAAACAATCCCCAGCCACCCATCTTCCCTTGCTCACCCCTTTAAAAAATTCCTGAGGTTTCCCATCCCCACCCCCAGACAGGAAGACAGGTGACAGAGAAGAAAGTTTGGTTCATGTACTTATGGGAGAGGGGGCAGGAGGAAGAAATGAGATTGGGAAGCATGTTTTCCTGTAGCCCAGTCTAGGGAGGAAGGATGGGGGACAGGTGGTAGTGGGTAATTTCTTGCAGTAATAAACTCTCTCTATCCTTTTCTGTAGTCTAAGTTGGCCCTGCAGAAGCAACTTACCAAGACCCTGGCAGCCCGATTCCTGCCCAGCCCCCTCCCTACCGCTGCAGTATGCACCCTTCCAGGGCCTTTGGCTCTCCGACCAGCCCCAGCTGCTGCTACCACCCTCTTCCCAGCCCCAGTGCTGGGCCCTGCCTTGTTTCGATCACCAGCAGCAGCTGTCCGCCCAGCTGCTGGGCCCATTGTCTTTGCTCCATACTGATCCTCCCTGGGGGAGGCCAAATGTGACTCCCCAGGAGTCCTATTTCCAGTCTCCATGGCCATGGAGCAATGCCTCTTTACAACCAGTGGTGTTTGATAGGGAGAAGACAAAGCCCAGCTTTAGAGTTGGCATCATCTTCTCCCTCTCTGTAAGATTGAACAAGGTGGCCTCTAAGGTCTCTTCCAACTCTAAATCTGACCTTATGACCAATACTTCCAGTTCACACAAGGTAACCACCCCCTGCCATTGTGGGGGTGAGGAACCAGATGTCTCTATCAATCATCCATTCCCTGCAGTTATGGTGGCCCCAGCCCCAGATCCCTAACAATCTATGCACAAGCTCCAAAGCCAGCTCCACGGTGTTCTCACTTTTCAAGGGAAATAGGAGGGAAGCAAATTTGATTATCCACCTACCCCAGTCCCTGCAATGTGGGTGACTGGAGGGTTCCCAACCCCTTAATTCTTAGCATCTTAGCTTTGCCAAGTATGTTTTTCCAGGGCCCAAGGGCAAGGGACAAGTTTATGACCTGTATGGGATGCCTTCCACCAAAAAGACCTCTCCATCCCAGGCATATAATTCTTTGGGGGACCACAGAAAGGGGATGTTGGGAGGGGAGAAGATGGGGTTGGGGCAGTCTTCTCCTTAGGGAGAATGTGGACTTGGAGAAAAAGAACTATAATAGGAGGCGGGGGAAAAGGAAGGACATTTCTAAGTCTGGGCCGTGCTAAGGTAGGGGAGGGAGAAGACTGCTTCCTTCTCAGAAGGATCTGTTAATGTGATGGGGATGAATGAGGAGAGGTGAGCTATAGGTGGAAATGGTAGTCCATTCTATGGCTTTGCTATGAAAAAAGTCCAGTCTGCATCAGCCAGGCCACTTCCTGTCCTAGACTTTGCCCTTAGCCAGAGCCCCACTCTGCTCTCGTCCAGGATGCATGCCTGGCCAACACCTGCACCTTCTCAGCACCTTCTGTTCCCTGCATCTTTTAAACCTTAAAGCAATAAACAGGCATTCTCCCCGCCCCGCCCCATTCTATTCCAATGCACTTTAGCCTCCCTCCATCAGAAAAGCCATTCCTTCTCCTTCACATCCCAGACCACAGCACCCTCCAAATCTACCTAGGCTGTAAAATTGGAGTAGTGGGACCCAGTCTGATCCAAGATTTCTAACAATTGTTTTTAAGATATCCCCTGCCCTACCTCCCGGGACTTGGCCAGTATCCTCCACCTAGCTATTTTTTCTTCAGATGTTTCCAGTGGGAGAGAATAATAAAAGGGGAGGGTTTTTTTTTTTTTAATAATAAGCTATCGTGGCTTTATTATGTCAAACTCATCAATAAAAGAGTCTGGAGTTTAGTGGTGTATTTGTGTTAACCTCTGCCCCACAAAGTCCCCTGTTCTGTCTTCCTCTGGGTTAGAGAAGATGCTTTGGGAATGGGCAAGGAGGCTGCAAAAGTACCCTAAGGTGATTCTTTCATCTGATATACGTGTCTTCATGTTAGGAAAGGGGTGTCTGATGTCAGGAGTACATAATACATTATAGAATGTCACATACATTCACGAACACATGCTAAGTGGATGATGAGCCATTGATGGGCTTCTACTGGTCTGCTTTGTCCTTCCAGGCCCCATGAGATATGAGGGAGAGGTGCCATATATATTCTTCATTATGGGAGGTTGGAATAGTTATAGATGAAGTTTAGGTTGTTATTAACATAAAAAAAAAACCCAACCCAGAGTGGGGAGAAGGGTAGCCTTTAAGAAGCCATAAATCTATCCCCTCAGGATAGAAGGAGGGTCAGAAAACTTTGTCCCTGTCTGCAGCAGTCTGGATTACTGGACGAGCCCTCCCCTCCACCATAAGGGCCCTCTAAGCAGTTGACATGGACTATGTGCTCCTGCCCCCTGGTGGCTGAAGGTCAAATGGAGCGCTTTAATAGGTGAAGACAACTAAAAGCCTGGAAAGGCAAAGGAGTCTAAAAGGAAGGAGTTTAGAAATCTTTGTCTTGACCCTTTCATCTTTATAGGGGAAGAAGCTGAGGACCAAAAAAGGAAATGTCTCTTGTCCCAAATCACCTTGCTAGTAAGTGAAGACAGCTGAGACTCCCTGCTCAGGGTGTATGGCCATGATATAGTATAAAGGACCCTCCATGGTGGAAGACTGGACCCCGCCCCCAGCATGGAAGGTCTTATACTATATCATGGCCATACACCCTGGGCAGGGTAAGCCGGAAGGGAAAACAACTTAGTGAGAAGTTTCTGTTTCTTCAGCGGCTTGGGCTCTTCTTAAGGGAAGAACACAAGTGAACTGGAGACACCTCCTGAGATAGGGAGGACTTCTTTCCCTTTCCCTCCCATGCCAATCTCTCTGCTTGATTATCTTTTTCCAAGGGCCATGACTTGGAGTTGTTGGGGGCCTTTTACAGGGGACCACAATCAACTGGCTATCTCCTGGCACTGTTAGCTCTCAAAATGGATTTCAGCCTGATAGCAATAGTATAGGGATGAGGGGGAGTGAGGTGGTGGCTGTGGAGTAACGTGCACTATTTGGACTCTTCTCCAAGGAAGAGAAGCAGTGGAGTGAGATGAGACTCAGGATGTTTCCCAGCGACCTACCATTGTGGCCCTCTGCCAGGCTGACTTCAGGAAGCCCATCTTACTCTGTCCCTCCCATTTCCCCAATTACCTGAAACCCCAAGGAGTTGGGGGGGAGGGTAGGATTGGGATAGGGTGGGGCTGAGGGAGGGGGTGGGTAGGTGAGAAGGAAAGCCTCAGCCATCCAAGGAGCCACTGCCCTTATTTTTACGGCTGAGTGGGAAGGCTGACTTGCTCTGGGGCTGAGTCATCTTGCTGGCCAAGTAGACGAAGGGCTCGAGGAGAGAGCGGCGGTCGGCCACAGACACTTCCCACAGTTTCACCTTCTCCACCTTAGCCCAGTGCTGGGCTACATCGGGGTCCACTCGACGCTGCTCCTGAAGGTCACATTTGTTGCCAAGGACCACAATGGTGACCTGGGAAGGGGTTGGGGAGGTGGACAGACTGAAGGACTATGCTCATGTAGGAACAGCTGGCCTTAGTACTACAAAGCACCTGAAACCTTGTTTCAGATGCTTTACTAGCTGTATTATAGGTATATCGCTTAACCTCTCTCCACCTCAGTTTAAAATGGGGATAATAATGCTGTTTTAGAGCTTGAGATAATGTACATAAAACCTTTTGCAAACTTTAAAAGCACTTTACATGACTGACTATACAAATGTTAGTTATTATTGCTACTTAAGGGCTCTTATAATGAGCAGATGTTCCAATGAATTATGATTCTATCTCTCCCTGCATTTGCAGTCTAGATGATCAAAATGTTTATAGCAGCATACTTTTTTTTTGGGGGGGAAGCAAAGGACTGGAAACAAAGTTGATGCCCATCAATCAGGGAATAGCTAAACAAACTGTGGTACAAGAAATTACTGTGCTATAAGAAATGACAAACATGACAGAGAAGCCTTAGAAAGACTTACATGAACTGATGCAAAGGGAAGTAGGCGAAGCCAGGAAAGCAGTGCACACAATGACTACAATAATGTAAATGGCAAGAACAAGATAAATGAATGTTACAAAATTATAAAGAACAAGCTTGGCCCCAAAGAACAGATAGAAGAAGGTATGGCTCTCTATGGAACACTGCATATAATATCAGATATATTGTGATTTTTTTTCCTCCCTCTTTTTCTTTCTTTCTTTTTTGTTATAAAGGATAGTTCTCTGGGAGAGTTGGGAAGGGGGAAATCTAGGTAATATACAAACAAAACATAGCAATAAAAATCTGTTTTAAAAAGTCTGAGTGAACTCAAGAGAGATATAAAAGGTAAACGGGACAGAAAGAAACAACACTGTTATTAATAAGGGCAAGCTTTTATATCCCTACAACGAAAGATTGTCATCTTATAACTCTTAGAACTGTATTGTTATTACACCATGTTAAAGGGGTATACATAAAGGGGATGGGTATAAATTGACTTTGATGTAATGATAAAAAAAAATCCAATCAAGTAGGTTAAATGGATCTAAGTAAGTGGATTAATCTGATCTAACTAAGAAAATGTACTGAGAGAAAAGGAAAGGAGGAGGTAGACAAGGGTAAATTACATTACAGGAAAAGGTACAAAAACCTTACAGCAGAGGGAAAGAAGGGAAGGAGATGAGCATTGTTTGAACCTTACTCTCATCAGATTTGGCTCAAGAAGGGAATAACATAATCAGTTAGGTATAGAAATATAACTTGCCTTTATAGGCAGTAGGAGAGAAAAGGGGAAAGAAAAGAGAGGGAGCTAATAGATGGGAGGCCAAACTGAGGGAGGTGGTGGTCAAAAGCAAAACATTAGTGATGAGGGAAAAGGAAAAAGAAAAACATAAACAGGAGAAAAAGGATGGAGGGAAAGACACAGTAATCATAACTGTGAATATGATATATGAATGTAATGGAATACTATTATGCTATAAGAAATGATGAGTAGGCGGACTTCAGAAAAACCTGGAAAGATCTGTATGGTCTGATGCTGAGTGAAGTGAGTAGAACCAGGAGAACGTTGTACACAGTAATAACCACATTGTGTGATGACTAATATTGATAGACTTAACCCTTCTCAGCAATACAAGGATCTAAGACATCTCCAAAGACCTCATGATGGAAAATGCTATCCACATCCAAAGAACGAACTATGGAGTTTGAATGTAGATCGAAGCATAATATTTGCTATTTTTTTTCTTTTGTTGTGTTTTGTTTCCTCTTTCTGTTGGTTACTCCTATTGGTTCTAATTCTTACAACATCACTAATGTGAAAATGTTTAATAGGAATGTATATGTAGAGCCTATATCAGATTGCATGCCATCTTGGGGAGGGAGGTGGGGAGGGAGAGAAAATTTAAAACTCAAAAGCTTATGGAAGTGATTATTGATAAATCAAAATAAATTAATTTAAAAAAAAGATAAAGTCTGGGTGATGAATTTGGGATATTTTTCTTTTTTCCTCTCTCTATCCAATCTAAAACTTGGTCCAGCCTCAAGCAGTCCTATGCCACTTTCTACAGTCCTACTATCTGAGCATCTGAAATGGTTCTAAGTAGTTGTTTATGGTGCTTCGGACTGATCTTATGCTTCCCTTCCCACCTGGTCCCTTCCTTGTACACAATTCTAGTTGTCTCTGCTGATTGTCAGCTAATCCTTGATAATGTAATCAGTAAGGCCGGAAGAGAGCAGTTATGTTGCACAGTAGACAGAGTGCCAGACCTGGAGTCAGGAAGACCTGAGTTCAAATCTAGCCTCAGACATTTACTAGCTGTGTGACTCTGGGCAAGTCACTTAACCCTATTTGCCTCAGTTTCCTCATCTGTCAAATGAGCTGGAGAAGGAAATGGCAAACCATTCCTGTATCTTTTCCAAGAAAACCCCAAATGGGGTCATGAAGAGTCAGAAAGACTGAACAACAACAAAGGTCCCTGATGCTGTCAGTTCCAGCTTAAAGATATTAAAGTGTGACAGCCCTCTCCTCCCCTTCTTCCAGGAGCCTTTGAATCTTAAAGAGAGACCTGAAGAGGGAAACACCCAGAAAAAAAAGCAATGAAGCCCATATGTGAAATGGCAGTCAGGTTAGTATTTTGTCTTTCCCTCCACATAGTGGCGAGGGGCTTACAGAGAGAGCTTTGCATGGGAAACTTGACCCCACTGTCTTCCTCCCCACTAGGAGGATCTAAGGGAGCACTGTCCTAGGTACCTCTGCTTGACCAGCTGTTACATTCTTCCGAGAAGGTTCAAAAAAGGAAGATCTGGCATGTCCCTGATGAAGTAGTGCTGGCCTCCTATTGCAAATAGCCCCTTGACAACACTCTGCCAATGACCACATCTCTCCTCCACGAACCCCTAGGCTCCCCACAGCAGCCCCTTTTTTAAATTTCATGTTGTTTTTAACTTATGGAATAAAACAAGCATTTCCATAACATAGTATGATTTTTAAAATGATTGCACATGAAACTGCAAATCTATATTGTACAACTTGATATTCCTTTTAAATAGATAATAAAGTTGCAGTATAGATTCTTTTTTTTTCTTTATTTCTTCCTTCTCCCCCACCCCGTTCTAGAAATGGCTACCGTTAGATACAAATAGGCACGCATATGTAAGATTTGTCCGTTCTTTCTCTGCATGCAGATAGTGTCTTTCTTCATATGTCCTTTATTGCTGTTACTGTATACAATGTTTTCTTGGTTCTGCTCACTTCGCTCTTCACCATTTCATGTGAAGTCATTTCAAGCCTTTCCATGCTTTCTAAAATCAATGAGCTCATCATTTTTTATAGCACAATAGTATTCCATCACAACCATACACCACAATTTATACAGCCACTCCCCACTTGATGGAGATCCCCGAAATTTCCAGTTCTTTGCCACCACAAAGAGAGCTGCTATAAATATCCCATTCACATTCAAAGTTATAATTACTATTTGTGAATTTCCCTCTCTTATTTTTACTATTTTCTTTCTTAGCCTCTCTTTTCATTCTATCCCTGTTATCTTCTCCTCCATCCTCCTACTCCCCATCCCATCCACCCCTCCAAGACTGCCCGCCCCTCCCATCCTCTCAATCCCAATCCACACACCTCTCCCAAAGTTTCCCCCACCTCGTCCTCCAGTTTTCAAATGTTATCAATATTCTTAAAACCGTTATCATTAAGGTGGTTTACATTACTAAGGCTGAGCTGTGTATGATGGGTTGATTCATACCTCCTTCTTGTCCTTGGACTTATCAATCTCCTTTTTGAGCAGTTCAACTCTCTGGAAGGACTCTCGGCTGTTAGTGCTATAGACCAGGACATAGCCGTCTGTACAGGAGAAACAGTGCCTGGGAAGTTCTGCCCCATCTCGCAGGCCCCGGGTGTCATAGAATCTCACCTGCTCCCTCACACCTCGGTCAGTCTCAATTGAACCCACATAGATGTCTTCCTGGGTTTCAATCATCTCAGAACCTGGAAGGGGACAAGTCTATTTATCCATTTTTTTGGGAGGGATGATGGGACAGCAGTGAGTAAAACTGGGTATTTCCTGAGAGCCCAACCAGGGACTTTCCTCAAGCTGGGGGTATTTAAGTGTGAGAAAAGGTGAAAAGGTGGGGGGCTACTGAAGAGTGTGGGGCAAGGATTAGGGGATCACAAAAATCATGTGAGTGTACTCCGATATTATATTAGTGATAGTGACTGGGCCTGTGACTTCACTGGAATAGGGAACTCTCAGGTAAGAAAACTCCTACCAATTTCAGTCAGATGTACCTTTTCTGCAACTCAAGTCTTAGAAAGTTGCCCAGAGCACTAAAAGGTTAAGTAAGTTACCCAAGGTCCCACAGTCAGTACATGTCAGAGGTGAGACGGAACCCATGACTTCTGGCTCACAGGTCAGCTCTCATGTCAATTCTGACATGTCATAATGCCTCTTGACACATAATTAGCAATGTGCAAATATCCTGCTAATTAAAGCTTTTCTTTCTGTACCATTTCTGGGACCCTGGGCTTTCTTCCTCCGACTCCATTGTGAGGGCTCCCTCCAATCCTGGACAGTTGATTCCATATGGAATGATGTTGACTTGTCTAAGTGCTTACTCCACATGGCCACCTAGATTCATGGAGCTGGCCCTTGGGCTGTGCATGTGTGTGGAGGAGAGATCTAGCTCCCCCTTTGCACCTCCATTGTTGTTCCCTTTCACTCCCCTTCCCAAATCCCAGCGCTTACCTACTACATGGTTACCATACAACAGCTGTTCTAGGATTGAGGTCTTCCCCCACCGATGCCTGGCCACACACAACCACTTTGCAGCTCTTCCCCATGGACAGACCTCCACTCTGGGAAGGAGACAGACTACACTGAGACAGAAAACAGGGGAGGGAGGATCACAAGGTGAGGCCTTGAGAACTCAAATTCTGAATTTGACATATAATTGCTGGGGATTAGGACTCCAAAACACTGGGATGATAGGTTTACAGGTGGGAAGGAGTGAAGAGATGAGGGTTACCATGACCCCCAGGTATAGGTCCCCTTTCTCTGCATAGTGATGAGGCTGGGATCTGGACCCCAGAAAGGAAAAACTCTGGACTTTCCCACATGGCCAAATTTCTGGCATTTGCCTGAGGCTATAATCCCATCAACTGGCCTTTCATTGTGGCTACACCCAATCTCCCAATTCTCTGTTACCCTTAACCTAGCCTAGCCCTCCATAGTCTTACCTCCCTATGGCCCCTAGCCATTTCCCACCCTTTATCCTAGCTAGGCTCCCTTCTCTCTTTGCCACACAGTCCAGCTCCCACACAGGGAGTTCTGTTCACCCCAGTTTACTGGCCACTTCCATTCAGATCTCCTCAGACCCCTCCTCCAATCACCCCAAACTACTTGGCCTCTCCTAGATCCCCCCCCACAGTCTTTCTGTGTATAAGGTCCATCTTGTCTCCATTAAGGTGCTTAGATTCTTAAAATCTAGCCACTGTTCAGATTCTTACAACCTAGCCAATAGCTCGCTAACATTCAGACTCCATAAGTGTCTGCCCAATATGACAGATGTTCTAATAAACCTTGTCTTTGGCTGATAGAAGGCTTGGGTCAAATTCTTTTGGGCAGGAACCACATGTTCTGATTTTGGGGTCCCACAACCCCTAAACCTCTACAGTACTAGGATATAGGAGGGACTATCTGCTAAGGCCACAATATACATCTCAGTCCTCATCTTGCTTTTGATGTTAAAGAGAAAATGATCCCAAACTTAATTGTCTGGCTATGCTGCCCTGATTGAGGCCTTGGCAGACCTTTGGGTTTAGTCCAAGAAAGGAATGCTTCCCTTGAGAACCACTCCACCTTGCTCCCCAGAGCCTGCCGAACCAGCAGTGTAGAGCAAAAGCATTTAGAGAGGTGAGCCAAGATTAAAGAAGCCAAAGCTGAAAGAATTGGAGGGGGCTTTGAGTGTGTGTATTGGGGGATTGCAGCAGGGAGGCTGGTTGTGGTATGAGTCATTTTGCTGCTGAGATATATAACATGAAGGGTTAAACTCAGAGACCTCCAAGGTGAGGCTCTCACACATAGTAAGGGATCCATGGACTCAGAGAAAGACAAGAGATCCCATAGAAGCAGCTTCTAAGATACTTCCCAGATCTAAATCTATGACCCCATAGTGGAACCTGAGCTTCCAAAGAGGAAACTCTGGGCAAAGAGATCAAAGGGGAAGAGAACCCCAGGCCTCCTAGATGGCAGAATCATGGGTTTATTTGGGGAGTGTCTCAATGGAGCTGAGCAGCACGCCTTGAATCAAGGCCCAGGAGGGAAACCCAACTGACCAAGGAGAGCCTGTGTCCTGTTTTGTGCCTTCCATTATTGCCCAACCAGAGGAGGGGGTGAGAGGAAGTTTTAGCTTGTGTCTGTGCCCCTTTTGTCCTGTGCTCTGTGGTCCTAGGATGCTGCACCATCCCCCCACCCCGGATGCACGGGGTACCCTGAAGCAAGCTAAGAACAGAGGCTACCTACCTACTGAGGGTCTCTCCTCGAGTAATAGTCCTTAACTGCAGCAGCAGCTGATGCCGATAGAAGCAACTTCCCACTTCCTTCCTTAACCTCCCAGTCATCCCCACCCTCCAGCATCCGGCAAACCAGCAAGAGCAGACCCGGCAAGCAAAGGGACACTAAAGAAGCAACACAGCTCCCTCTAGAGCCATGGGGCCGGAAATGAAGTGGAAGTCATCTGGGCCAAGCTGTGATTGAGGGGGCCAAAGATCTTTTCCCACTAGAGCTGATACTGAGGATTTTTTTTTCTGAAAAGGGAAAGGAAAGGATGGTCCACAAATTTCTTGGACTTTTAAGACCAAAAGATGAGAGTGAGAGTCTGGTACCAGTCTGAAGGCCCTGGCAATCTCAAGGTCAAGGATATATATGGGGAGAGGGTGCACTGGCTCTCCCATTCCCCTTAATTTGTTTGCAGCACTGTACAAGTTGAGAGGATTTACTCATCCATTCAACCAAGCATTTATTAAATACAAGTCATTAGGTACCTACTGTTAAATACCCCCGCAGGGAAGTGTGGAGGAAAAACAGAAAGCAGAAAGAAATCATCACTGCCCTGGAGAAGCATATAGTCTAATGTGGGGTCAATACACACACACACACATACATATACAGTATAAAAAAGGTAATTTCCGGTTGGAGAGTACTAGTAATTGGAGGGGTGTGGGGAATCAGGGTAGGATTCCTGTGGAAGGTGACACCTGACTTGAAACTTAAATCAGGAATTCTATGAGGATCCTAGATTTTACAGCTGGAGGGATATTGGATGGAGATCACCTAGGCCAACTCCATCCTTTTGCCAAATTAGACACAAAGGTTACACAAGAGATTTAGTAGCAGAACTAGCATTCAACCTTGGTCTTTCCAAAGCTCTTTCCATCACATAATGTGGTTCATTTCATTGAACACTGAACTCAACTGAATTAATTAAATTGGATGATGGACAACCAGCCCCCTATACGATCAGTCAACTAGCATCTATTAAAAGCCTGCTGTGCACCAGTCACTGTGCTAAGCACTGGGGACCTACAAAAAGGGAAACAAAACAATCAATTCCTGCTCACAAGGAGCTCGTAGTCTATGCATCCCTGTCAAGTACCTTACAGTTTAGGGGCCAGGGGCAGCATCAGTTGGGCACATGGATTTACAGGACTTACAGGGAGAGGGGCATTTTTGTTACTTCTGCCCAGTGTCGGGTGGTGTAGACTGGGTGGGAGCAGCCGCTGGGATAGGAGTTTACTGTGGGGCAGGGGCGTGGGGGCCTGGGCCTGGCTCCCTCAGCCCGGCGGGTCCCCCATAAAACAAAGGTGGCACCCCCGGGTTAGTGCTGAGGTGGCACTCCGGGCGGCCCACATGAAAGGCTGCCCATAAAACAGGTCGGAGCATCATGAGGGGGAGGCCCCCGCCGCGCCTGGGGATCTTGGGGCGGGGATGAAAGGCGCGGGCCGCGTTCCTCCGGCTTGGCTGGGCAGGGCTCTGAGGGCCACCCCCACCCCCCCAGCACGCCGGCCGGCCGCCCGCCGGACTCCCGGGGCCGCTCCAGTTCCCCTTGTCTCCCGCACTGAGCCCAGGGAGAACGCGAGGGCGTTGCCATGGCGACAGAGCGCTCGGAACCCTGAGACTGAGCCTGGTCTCCAGGATCAGCGCGCGGCCGCGCGGGCGACAGACACGGAGCCCCCCTCCGCACCCCCGCAGCCTCTTCCAAGCTGGCTCCCCCGATGAGCCGGGGCCGCCTCTGGGCCCGGACCCCGGCCCCAGCGCCCAGACGGGGCCCGGCACCGCTCTGGCAGCCAGCACGCCCCCCCGCCGGTCGGCGAGCCCGAGAGAGCCTCTCTGGGCGCAGCCAGGCCGCCGCGGCGGCGCCGCTCGTTGCTCCTGCGCCCGGAAGTGCTCTTTACAGCCCGCCCCCCACCCGGCTCCCTGGCCCTGGCGGTAAGATGGCGGCGGCCGCGGAGTGCGATGTGGTAATGGCGGCGGCGGCGGCCGAACCCGAGCCCGAGCTGCCTGATGACGAGGAAACCAGGAGGTAACGGGGACGCCGGCAGGCCCAGGGGAGGGGCGCGGGAGCGGGCCCCGGCTCCTGGCGGGGGGAAGACCGCCCTCGCCACCCCCCAGCCCGACTGGGCCCTGTCCCCGAGCGCGGCTGGAGCCCCGGGGCGGGGGGGGGGGGACGGACGACACGGGAGTGATGATCAGGACTGCTGTGACTCCTCCTCCAGCAGTCCCCCCGCCGAGACACCCCTCTATCCTGGGTCCCCGGCCCGAGGTCTTAGGAAGGGGAGGAGGGAGCCTCAGCCTGGAGCCCCCGGACCCAGAGAGTCACAGCTGGGCCCCGATGCTTTTGCTGTGTGACCTTGGGCGAGCCCCTTGGCCTCTCTGGGTCTTGGCGTCCTCTTCTGTCAGGCCCCCCCTTCCCCCTCCCCCCACCGGGTACCCCTCCCTTAACCACTTCGGTGATCCTGGGCTTCCTACACATTCCCCCGACCCTAGCCTGCTCTGCGATATTAGATTATACCGTTCCCACCCCTCACCCCCACAGGCCTGGGGTGGGGGACATTGATTGTTGGGGATCCTTTTTGCCCGCCCCTCCACAAGTGTCCTGGGAAAGACCCCTGCTGGAGGGAGCCCAGAAGTCAGCCTGCTTGGGGACCAGTTGGCCCTGTGGGTTAGCTGCAGTAGCCTGAGGTGAGCAAAGAGGACCAGCCCCAGCTGCTGCAGGCGAGTGGGAGGTTTTTCTGAGAAAGCCTGGATTCTTCCCACATTATTTTATGACTGCTCATTTTAACTGCCTTTCCCCTTGTGACTTCCCAGTCATGGCCCCATTTTGGATGCTTCTAGGTTGTGGGGTGGAGATAGAGGATTATGGGACTCAGGTGACTCTGGCTGTGATCCAGTCCCTATCCATAAGCATACCCTCAATGTGGTCAGTTTAATATTTACCCTTTCTTAAATTTTCACTCAGATCAAAGGATGCATTGTCAAAGTTCACACACTGAGATTTTGATGTGATGGGAGACACAGAAGCTCTTGGGAGCAGTTTACTCAGGGTTCAGATATCATAGTTGAAAAAGACCCATAAAGGCTGGCCTCAGATTCTTGGCGTTGATATAAACATTCGTCCCCTAATCAGTTGAGAAATTAGAACAAGTGTAATCCATTCTTCTACTAAGGAACTGCAAAGTGGGAAGCAGTAGTTCTTGTAGCTGTAGGCCTGCTTAGGTGAGCTGTAGGACAACCCAACCTTCCTTGGAAGAGCTTTAAGTTTGTAGATTTAGTGCTGAAAATGAGGTGGGGGTGAAGAGTTCAGCATCTTAGGAG